TCTTGTCAAACCAGACAAGACCAGCTGAAAACATGTCTAATTTGTATTGCCAAATGTCAAAGATGGTGGATTTTTTTTTTGTCTCTGTAGTCATCTCAGCTTAACATCTTTTATAGTGTTTATTTTCCTGTCCTGTTCAGTGACAGAAATAATCTCTTTCTGAAGCCCTGAGGGTTTAGGTGATTACAGCTGTACAAAAACACTTAATTTATAACACAGTGGCAGAAAACTTTGTAGATATGTGGTTTAGTTCAGCAATCACAGACTGCATTTTTGATCATTATTGTAAGATTATTTTGTTCATAGCTTAGATGTCAATTTTAGTCACTAGATGTCAAATTCAGTGACTCTAAAACTCCATTAAAGTCAAAGCCTCCTGTCCAGGCATTGTTAGTTTTTGAATGAGCATACGCTAACTTGTTAAACGTCTCTGTACTCTGATGGTTTTACTTTTGTAAATAAAAAAGAGATCCTTTGTTGACTTAGTCACATGCATCCACCATTCAGTTTTACTCCAAAGCTCTCCAACATAATTATTTCTCCTATTTGGCTTCAACTTTCCTTCCATTATGGTTTTAGGCAGCAGGAGTCTGTTGTGCCCCTGTCTGCTACGCCAACACATTTTCCCTGTTTCTGTTGATGATAAACAATATTTGATACCAGTTTGAACAATACCAATGGCCTCTGGTGCTCGTCTGCACAATAGAGCACTTGTCTTTGCCTGCTGAGAGAGAACGCCAATGGACAGGCAGCTGTTGTTTGCAATTACGGAGTCCCACTGAGGCCTTCAAAATATTTTTTTTTCTGTTAAATTTAACTGTAGAATTTGAAGGCTTTCTACACATATGAAATGTGCTGTGAATGAGCATCCTTGAAAAAGCAAACAAACTGAAAAAAGTCAGAGTTTAGCTGAGGAGAAGACATGTATTTAATTTAAATAACAAAAACAACAAAGTGTATTCTGATAGTCTTCTTTGATGAAGAGTTCTTTTGATTGTTTCAACTGAATAAGGATTACATGGTGTTATGCTCATACTCAACTTCAATGAGATGAACATTTACTTTTCATTATTTTGTAAAGAAGATAATACATAAAAAAGAAAAATCTGCATTTATGAAAAAATTCTGACAGTTTGGCTTTCTAACAGGAGGTAAATAAATATATAAAGATAAAGCTGAAGTTTTTAAATTTGTTGTTAACTGTTTCCCATTCATTTTCTGTTGGAAAATTAACAGAGCAGAATTAATTAGTCGTGGTGAGTTCAAGAGAGGACGCCAGTGCACATTCAGGTCAGGGTACACAAACAAAAGTGTCTTCATTTAAAGAAAAAGTATTATAAGTGGTCAGACTTCAATGAAACAGAAAATGGGAGATAAACATAATTTTCCTGAAGTTGTTGTGTCCTCAGTTGAACATCTGAAGGGACGTTAAATAAGGCATTTAAATGATGTATCAGTGCTGGATGTTGCACATTAAGGCACATGGCACATTAAGGTCCATGTGCACTCAGGAAGACCAAAAGCAGAGTGAGAAAAGTACTCTGTTTTAATTCATGCTCTCTGGACCAGATGCACTCAGTAAAGATTGGAACATTTTCACAAATACAGCCTGCAATGGTGACAGTTTTGTAGAGGTGGGAATACGTAGGGACTGACAGTTTCCGCAATCAGCTCACCTTTGATGATTCAGAATGCTGGATCACTATGGTAATTCTGTCAGTCATGTAATTTCTTCTGCCTCACAGAAAGGTAGTTTCAGAACAACTGGGACCATGACAGAATTTGGCCCAGAGAGACTGGGTGTCAGTCATTATAGTCACTGCTCTTTGGGTCTAATCAGTGTCTGACGATAATGGAACGTGTCTCCAGAGAGTTTCTGTGAAAACTTTGAATAAAAAATTCATTCTGAACCAGTGAGGGCAGCTAAGTCAGCAGGATCTTAAAATAATAATTATAATAAAAAAAGAAAACAATTTTTTGTCTTTATTTAAAAGGCATTTTCCTCTTTTGCACTGCATGTTTGTCACTCTTCAGTGTTTCACAGCATCAAACCAAATATTAGTCAAAGACTACACAAATAAAAAAATGCAGTTAGTTTTTAAATTTAATTTTGCTTTCTGGCAAAATGATAATAAAGGAATTCTGAATGTGATTTATTTAAAAATTGCATGTTGTGTTTACTCGGGTTGTCTTTAAATTGGTTTAATGTACTGAAATCGTAAAATTTGACAAACATGCAAAAAAAAAAGGAATCAGGAAGGAGTCAAACTTTTTTTATATAATTTAGATTATTCACCTTTGTTTAAAAAGAAAAAAAAACTTTTGACAAAACATTGAAATACATTAAAGTCCTTTAAACCTTGTAAAAAAAAAATAGCAGTTATTGTCCCAGTGAATCTACCAGCTCCATTGTGTGTCTGGGGGCCTAGTTAAGGTTTCTGCCTGCTGATTGCACAGCAAATCAAAACTTAGCTACAGGTCAAAAGGTCGGCTATGGGCTTGAGAATTACCTTTCTCTGTGCCTGTGAATGTTTACATTTGGCCATGCTCACTGAAAAAGGTTGTAAGTTTATGCGACACTTATGTAAAGAGTTGTTATTTCACATCTGGGAATTCAGTTTAAATCTTATCATATAATTTAAAATTATAAATAATAGAATAAATAGGAAACTGCTTCTTTAGTCATACATGGATTAAGGTCAGTTGTGATATCAGAATCATTGTGGCGAAAAACAATAAATTTAAACTGATACTACTTTCTTACAGTTATTTTTTAGATTTGTACATATTTCTGTAGAGCTCGACTGAAATGAATGAAAACTCTAATTACTTTGAGAAAAAAAATTAAAATGGCTTATTTGAGTCTTATAAAATATTTAATCTTACTGTGTTTTGCTCTGTGTGATCAGAACTCCATAGTCAGTTTGTCCTTTTACTTAGGAGGCTGTCCTTTCAAACTTTCCTCAAACTCCCTAAGTTTTGTTAATCTTTGTAAACAAAGTTTTATTATTTTCCAAATTGTTGAAAATACAAGACAATTTGGAAATTAGTATCTTTAAGTGTTGAATTAACAGAATGTAATGTAGAGGTGACCAGCGTGAACGCTTCCTCTCCTCCGATTACTGCTAGTGATAGACATCTGAATCTCCCAACGTTTCAGAAGTTTTAGATTAAAGTTATCTGGGTAAATAATGATCAACCTAAGCTTTGAGATACTTCATACTCACCATCTGCAGCTTCTGGATCTTACTGATTTGTCATCAAACCCAACATACTTTTGTACGTAAAAGTAGGTTTAAACTATATGCTTCACATCACCATTTCCATCACATTCAAAGGTAGATGCTGCTACAATGACGTGGCTATCTGAGTCAGTTATCCAAGTCTCATTCAGAAGGAATGCTACGCTTTGTGTCCTGCAAATTTAAGATCAAAGAATATGACTGGCTTTATTGAGCCTGTGTCTTCCTTTTTCAGTAATAATACATATGCTGAGAAGCTGTCAGAGTTCCCATTTGATCTGATTAGTGAGTTGCAAACACTGATCAAAGAACAAGCCTCATTTGCATGTGATCACTTCAGCTTTGAACTTTAGATGCTGAGAGTCAAATAATTTGGCAGACAGGGATCCGGCACGAGTTCTGTACCCAATTGGGAGCTAAATTAGCATAACACAGTCGACACTGAGACAACATACAATCCACAAAGACATTGTTCCATCAATTCTGGCTTTTTTTTTTTTGGGTGTTTGTTTGTGCAGGCTTGTAACATAAATACATATAAAATACTTAATAGAGACATTCTGACTCTTGCTGTTTATTACTTCAGAAATATATGTATTTATTGGGTTTTTTTTAATCACTGTCACAGTTCACAGTTCTTGTTTCCTGTCAAGTCTTTAAGTGCTACAGATGGCAACCCTCAGGAGAATTACTTTAATGCATTACCAATGTCAAACAAGTCTCTGATTAAACACGCCATTTAAATAGACCTCTTACTCCAAGCAGATCCCTCTGTGAGCTTTGATTCATACCAGATTTTTTACTGCACCTTCAAATGTCTTAAGCCAGGCCAACGTTATACCCATAGTTACAAATACTACTTCTGCATTTATTTGTTTTTGGGGGGAAATGAAAAAGAATATTATATCTGGCCTGCTTCCCTGGCATAGTAACCAAGTAGGTAGACCTTTCTCTTTGACAAATGTTTATTTTATAGTGACCTTGCGTGGTCTGAAACTACATTATATAGCTGTTCAAAAACAATCTTGTTTTTGAACATTTTTGTGTCATTATTAAGCTTGACTTTAACAGCAGATGTTTGATTTACATGTGTACAACCTCCAAAAAAAGTTTCCTTTATAGTAATGGTAAATGTCATGTACATGTATAATGTTTTATTAAGTTTGGAAGAACCCATAGAGATTCACACTATGTCCATTGATGCTCCCAATGATGAATACATAAACATTTACCTATGGCATTTAGAAACTTGCTGTAGTTTTTTTTTCCACAGACTTCTTGCACATTAGGTTTTGTGTAAAATCTTTCTAAAAATGCTTTCCCCAAATGTCACAGATGAGAGTTTTGATTGCCAAACCATTCCAAGCTGACTTTCCTGCAGGTGTCTCTGATTTCGTCTTTTTCTCAGGTGAAGCTGCTATAGCAACTAATGCTGCCACATCTGTTTACATCTCAATTTATTACTAATCAAGCACAAATGTGAAACCTATTACTCTTAGTGGTATTAAACTTTGAGTGCTTATGTAGGCGGAAGCAATCAGTAAGAGCAGAATAGCAGACTTTACTTGAATAAACATGTTTCTCTCACTACACATGATAGCAAATCACAAAAACACCATTTTTTTGTCTTCACATATTTTTTATTATTTTTACTTGCCTAAGTGCAGCCAAAATAAACAAATTTCCTTCTCCGTATTTTACAAACAGTGTTGTCACTTTCGGCATGTTAAATAATGTGGGTTTTTCTGTGGTTTTCAGTGACAGCATGCCAAAGCGGATAGCACTCATCTGCTTCCTGTCTCTGGTCATGCTGATGAGCGTCTTGGGAAACCTCCTGGTTATGGTGGCCGTCTGCAAAGACAGACAACTCAGGTGGGTTTGCGCTTTATCACCTTCTCATGTAAAAATTACCCAGGTTTGATTGTTTATTTGATACAATCTTGTTTCTATATAGTAGATATACTCTAAGGGAAATCAGGAAGCTCCTTTCTCTTTCCCATTCATTACTTTCCATGTTACTTTTTGTAACAAGGCATCTCTTGTGTACAGTTAGTTTTTGATCCCACCTAAGACAAACATCTGGAATATTACTTGCAAAACTTTTGCTTTTAATGTTTGCTTTTTAAGGAGATGAAAAGCTGAGAAAAATTGTTTTTATATGAAACACTTTTGCGTTTCAAATAAAGATTTTCTTTAAACATTGAGGACAAATCTCGCCAGGGTTTACTTGAGGCAGAAAAATAAATTGACTTCTATTGTGGACAAAATGCATTACAACAAACTTGGTTCTGTAGTCTTTTCATTCAGATAAGAACCTCAAGCAGTGCGCGTGAAGCTGTAGTGACTGTGATAGAGCTAGCAGGCAGACCTCCTCACGTGGGAGCTGCTGTCACTGTGATCTCTGATTTTTTTTGTCCCTCACTCTCCTCCTGTCCTCTCTTCTCCTCTTGTCTTTTTTCTCTCTCATTCTCTCTCTCTCGCTTCCCGTCTTTGTCCTTTCTTATCTCATGACACCTGATAGCTCAGGGTGACCTCTGTCTCGTCATGTTGGCATGAAGGATTGTCTGTTTGCAGACGCACATTGAAAGATTGCAGGGAGGCCAGATGTTTGTATATTTGAACAATGAAATTCAGTTGAGTTTGAAATTCACTCATGCAGTGTGTATACAAAAGTGTTCATTTAAAACCATTAATTTAAAGTCACTGCTGTGTTGTCTCAGCTCCCTGTGGAGAAAATAATTATCCAGGGTCTTTGTTGCTCCCATCATCATTGCCCTACTGCCTGCTGGGAAATTTCAGGGCTACACACTTACACATATGATGCACATCTGCACAATAGGGTTGTCCCTTGGGTGAAGAGTCCTTACAAAAATAAAGCTGAACTCGGAGCATCTCATTAAGAACTGTCAAAATGTTCTTCAATGGTAAATAGGATTTACTGTTTCCCACCAAACATGCAACAGAAAAGCAATTGATTGTTGCAGAAGGAAGTCCCTTATTTACTCTTATCTTACTGTACTCTAATTTTACAACTTTTTAAGTATTTTATTTGAACGAGAAACAGGAGATTGTGCAAAGCTGTTAAGTGAAAGAAATTGACCCATCTTTTAATAAATGATAATCTAAAAATTGTAGCATGCAGCTTTTGTATTGTGGCATGTCTACAAGTGATTAATTTAATTTTGATATACAAATACAGATGTTCTACAAAGTTCTAATAGGTGAAATTTATGAAGTCCAAAATACATACCAGGCAGGTCAGGAATAAAGTTGTGAAGGAGTTTAAAACAGGATTGCTTAATAAAATAACATTCAAATATTTAAACATCTCATAGAGCACTGTTTAATCCACCATTTGAAAGTGGAAATGAGTGCAGTACAACTACAAACCTACAACGGTCATCAACCTAAAGTGATAGACCAGTCTAGGACATTATTCATGCAGACAGCTAAAAGGCTATTTACACAAAGCTATTGTGGAGAAATCTATTATATGATAGCACATCTATCCATAAATCTGCCCTTTTTAGAAAAGAGGCAACAAGACAGCCATAGAAAGTTCAATTTGCAAATATGTTGAAAAATGTCCTTTTGGTTAGATGAAACCAAAATGGCATCCATTCAAAAGTATGACAGAAAATCTACACTCCACAAAACACCATCCCCACATCGTTGTGGTAAGATCAGGGTTGCTGGTTTTAAGCAGAGAAGTAAGAGTTGGAGTTACAGTAATAATAGTAGGGAAACAGCTATTAGAGGCAGAAAAGTTTAGGCTGGGGTGGGTATGTGATGTGTATTTTCCACATCACATACAATAATGTGGAAGGTACAATAATCTGAAAACATACAGCGAGAGCTGAAATGAAATGAGTGCAACAAACCATATTCATTTGATACGATGGCTCAGTCAAAGTCCAAATCTAAATCCATATGTGAAACTTATGTTCATATATGTTACATATCCAATATGATGTATGAATGTATGAATATTTTGCAGAGATATTTTGCAGGGAGAATCCACATACACACACACGCGCACGCACACAAACACACACACTCAAAAACAAAACAAAAAACTGGAGTTGTAATTGCAGCAAAATATGATTTTGTTTGGGATGAAAGTTGTAAAATCTATGCACCATTTTTATTCCACTTCACAATCATTGGCTTCTTTCTGTTAGTTGGTGGATTGTGGTCGTAATTTGAGAAGAAATGTCGAAGTTCAATTGGTTTGAATACTTTAGCTGGGACTTTAGCTGTCAGTTGGATTGATGTGTGTTCAGTTTGTAAGAAAGGGAAGCTGCTCAACAATCTGGAGGCATTTTCCTCATAAACCCCCCACAGCTTCTTCTGCAGGAGCTGATACCAACAGAAGGTGGTTCAGAGGGTGCTGCACTGCTCATCAATAACCACCACACAAACACAAGCTCTTGTTTCTCTCAGAGTGACATGTTGAGTGTGTGGAGAAGATACTCACACACACTAAAACATGCTGCCACACAGTCTGTTTATACCGGACACTGAACAGATCTGGAAGCAGTGACACTGTTGTCATGTCAGGAACTTTTGGTTCTCGCAATAATTTGGACTGCAGTTAACAATTATTCTGGGTTTTTTTCAGTGTTTTCACAAGAACTATTGTCATGAAGAAAATGTTCCATTCATAAGTGTATGCTGATACTTTCATTCACTTTCCTGAACCACATAGATAAGGTAGCTTCATGTTATGTTATCTAGCTCTGTTGAGCTCTGTTAACTCAACAAGGGAAACCTCGTCAAAGCTAAAAAATTGCAGATATATTTTAGCATTCCAAATGCAGACATAAAGTGGCAGGCAGCTTACCAGTTTTATAAGATTGAGATTTATTTTCTGTCTTTTTATGAATAATGTCAAGCAATCAAGCAGAGACCCCCACTGAATTCAAAGTGTGAAACCACCAGAGAGAAGACAGGTACGCAGCTGGAAAAAGGTGGGCTTCCATCTTAAGGTGTGACTCATGTCTCAACACGAGTTCTGTCTTGGAGTTATTTTCACAAGTAGGGGTGAAATCAATATCTGGATCAATGCAGCATCACTTAAGGTGACTGATATGGACTTAAGAGATTATCACATTATTTTATGGGATTTATTGTTGACAGAAGTGTTGGAAAAACAACTCTAAGTTTCATAAATTTTCCAGTTATACAACTGGTACAATTTGAAAAAATTAGACACTATAATTAAAGTTTCTTGAAACTGTCTGGTAAAACCCAATAAAGTATCTAAGGTGCACAGGCAAAGTCACTATTAAGTTTCAGGAAATTTGTAGGGACGTGTCAGGTAAGTTCAGGAAGCTGTTGTTCAATTTTTTTCCCCCCAAATTTAATGTACCATGTGGATAAGTACAAAGAGAAAATCCAGTAGATGGCAAAGTTCATGTTTGTTTTACAAAACCATGGATGTGACTATTTATAAAAGCATCTTGTTTTTTGTTTTGAAAGTTGTTAAAGAAATTGTGTCTATTGAAACATTAATTTTATTGTATTATTTATTAATCTATCTTTGGAGAAAATATTTTATTATTTATTTTCTGAAAATATTTTACAGAAATTAAGATGTTTCATCATTGGACATCAATTAAACGGTGCTCATGTTGCAGTGTTCATGTGGCGTCAAAGATTAAAGTTGTTTTATAGTGAAGTATTCCAGGAGTACTTTTCAATGTTGTAGGAAAAAACAGGCAACAAAACAATCCTCCCAAACATGTAAACAGCTGAGTTGCACAGAATTATATGTATAAAAAACATTTTCAGCTTTTCTGAACTCAAATGCATTGTTGCTTCTGTAATCATAACAAAGGTGATTTAGTAAAAATAGAAATTATTTATACATGATCTCTGGTGTGTTGATGTCTTTCCTCTTCTTTGCTCCACTCTGTTTTAATCTTGCACTACAGCTTTACTTATCCATAACCACGTGCATCCAAAATAAATCCAAACTCACTCTAAGTCTCTTCTATTAAAGTTTATTTATTCTGGAAGCAGTAACACAACTTGTCATTCTAACTAAACACAACGCCTCCCCTCAAGACTTGTTAAATGTTACTAAACTGTTCTAAATTACTGCCAGCTTGACGATGTGAGCACGTAATGGATAAACATCTGCTAGTTCATCTCCAGTTTGGATGTGTGCATGTGCAGCATTTCTCTAAATCCTTGTGCATGCTCTCTTGTGTCTCACATGTCTCTCATGCTCAGTAGCGCCACCAGCAGATGGTTTGATCACTAACTGATTATTTTAAGGCACTGTTTGGGATACAGCTGAGCAGATGGGAAAGCCTTACGGCAGTCAGTTCTTGCTTCTGCTATTTATAAAATTAGAGCATCCACAGCAGAGACACTGAAGAGGACAGGGCATCTAAATGAACAACCACTTTGCATCATTGGTTTTCTTGTTGGAGTGGCTGAAAACAAAAATCAGAGATCCGATGAAACAAACTCATCCACTGAAATTGTAGTTTTTTTGGGGGGTGTTGACGGATGTGATAGATGTGATGTGTCGGTAAAAAAATAATCAGATCAAAATTGGCATCAATAATAGATATCTGACTTTTTGGCTGGCTTATAAGGAGACAATATTTCCCTGTATCAGCAGTTCTGCTTTTTGTTGAGTACATATCTGGGACATCTCAAAATATCTGTTTTTCTAAAAGTAATGGAGAGTGTGCATCTACATTTTAGTGACACAGTCTCTAAAGTTAGCCTGGAATAGCAATATTCTAACTCTATTTTACTGGAGTGTGGTTTTTATTTAGACATTACTCATTGTTAAGTGTAGACTACATGGCAGCTCAAACAGGGCGACTTTAGCTTATGCAGATGTCAACATATCCATTAGTTTAAAGGTTAAAAATACTTTTGAAATGAAAAGTAGGTATGAAATTATTCTCAGCAGTATTAACTTGCTTCTGGACAGTAATCTGAATAACATATTTTTTCCATTTATTTGACAGGGTAAGTACTCTGTTTAGGCTTTCTTTTTAGCTTTTTTTATTGAGTAGACAATTACACATTTTTTTTTTATTTTAAACTGAAATGTGTCATTTTGATTTTTCCTGAAAAACACAATCAGCTTAATAAAAAATAAAACAGCCATTTATTTTTTGTTTATTTATTCTTTGGGAGGGGGAGGGATGAGGGAGGGATTTCTGTCAGTGTTAAGGCTTTGTTTGAACTGTTTCCCTGTTTTTCCATAATTACATTTAATTTGTTTGTTTAGTTGCTCCCAAAGCATCATAAATAAGAAACAATTAAAATTCTTTGTTCATTCTAGAACAATAAGGCTTTTACTGCTTGTGGCCTCTCAATTTACCCAGCATTTATTCCTATTTTGACAATGGATTTAATTTTGTTCTGGTTTCACTAAGACTAAACAACAAAATAATATGAATTTAAACTTGAAGTTTTAATAATCTTTTTTGACTAACTATTTGATCCATAATTTTGTCATATTTGAAATTGTCTATTCTGTTTCATGGCTGTTCATATTTTATCTCTTTTTTTTCTACTCCAACAGGAAAATCAAGACCAACTATTTCATTGTGTCTCTGGCATTTGCTGATTTGCTTGTGTCAGTGCTGGTGATGCCGTTTGGTGCCATCGAGCTGGTCCACCAGCACTGGATCTACGGCGAAACGTTCTGTCTGGTTCGGACGTCGTTGGACGTTCTTCTGACAACCGCGTCTATTCTCCACCTGTGTTGCATCGCTCTGGATAGGTGAGGATGTTGTGTGCACTTCTAACCTCAAACTCTGGCAGATTTCTTATTTCTAGTCAAAATAATTGCATTACAGCGTCTTCCTTACAAGAGAGATGCAGGATTTTAGCTGAGAAAAATAAGACAGAGCACCTTTGTTACAATACTTTCTGCTATGTTTAAGCATATCAGTCTGAAGAAACGTGGCCTTCATAGAAAACCACTCATTTTTGAATAGCTTTATAATTCTCTGTTTACTGAGAAAACAGAGAAGTCATGAAACCATCCAGCGCACTACAAGAGGAATTGCCTTTGTTGTTTTCCTCAAAAACACACTGGGCAAACTTCTAACAAGGGTTTTACCTACAGATAAAATAAGATGCCTACAACAACTTTTCTTGGGCCCATACTTTAGTGTTTAACTACCGAATAAAAGTGAGTAAAATCACAATCTAACTGCTATCGGATTTATTGTGTGATTACCTCTGGTTAATAAATTGTGTCTACCATGAGAAGATTTAGCCTTTGTACTCCTCCTTTATACTCTCACTGCTTCTAGATAGCCAGCTAAATTTACTATAAAGCTCATGGCAGTTCTATAGCTTACAGAGAATGTGTAAGTTACTAGGGACTAAAGGCATTGTGCCAAAATGTTAAAGGCTAGAGATAAGAGGGAAGAGTAGATTTAGGACTGAACAGACCTAATTGCCATCCATGCTCCTAAGAGACAAATGTTCATAATACATATTCCACAGTATAGTGTTATTTTACAGGCAGAATTTTATCTCTGTGGCTTATGTGTGCTGTGGTTGCAGTTGTTTGGTTTGTAAAAAAGCATTTTGTGTCATGTTCTGTGTGTTTCTGTTGTGTTTAGTTGAGTTTCCTGTGTCCCGAGTCTCCTCGTTGTCCTGTCTTCCCATTGATTGCTCCCATTGTGTCTTGGTCCCCTGATTACCCTCTGTGTATTTAATCCCACCTGTGTCCTTTGTTCCTCGTCGGGTCCTTGTCGTTTTGTCGCACTGTGTCGTCGTTTGTTGTACTGTTCGCCTGTTTGACCAGTCGCTACCGGTGTGAGCCCTGGCTTCCTCTCAGTCGTGCTGCCTGGCCGCGAACTTGTTTGTTGACTGTTGTTTTGGACTGTTTTTTTTTTTGTTATTTACTCTACACCACTCACCTTACCTGGGTCTCCAGCGTCTGCCTCACCACTTCCACACCACCACCTCATGACATTTTGTTTATTGGGCTTATCAACCCTTTGGTGGAACATCATCTCCATATCTTATTATTGTAGCTGTATTGATTTTTCAGTACAACTTAACCATTGCAACTATATGTTACAGCATATTACAACAGCATATTGTTTGCAATAATATATTTAAGTTACAATTTCTAATTCTTGTCAAAAACACAGTTCATGTTATATTATAAAGTGAACATTTGGTAATTTCTGAATAAAAGAGATAAAAAAAAAAAAACTGAAGGAAGATCTAGCTGAACTGACTTTCAAACAAGGTGAGATTCCTAAGAAACTGAAGTAGAGTAGGGATGGTATGCGGGTGGCTCACATCAGCTAATAAAAACCAAGGGCAATTTTCAGCTAAGACAAGCTACGGATGAGGAAATAATCTTTTCATAAAATTTCTTTGCAGGAAGAGCTTTGTCATCTTTCATACAAGCAGCTGCCTTCACATACTGGCACAGCAGTGCTTTCATTTCTAGTTCATAGCAAAACAATCACCACAATTTCCTTGTAAATCATGTCACATCTTCTAGTGAATCCAGTTTCCGTTCTTACTGTAATTGGCTGCCTGTTTGGGTGTTTTTGTTGAAGCTTTTATCTGTGTGCTATTAAGGAACAAGATGCATTGTCTTTGCACATCATCCAGTATTTCACACTTGAATTCATTTTCTATTTTACTTGCCCTTCTTTAAGTCTGACATGCACATGCTTTTCACCTGAATATTTTATGGTAAACACGCAAAGAAAGATCTCAGACACATCAAAACGGTTTTAAAAATCATCAGTTATTTTAATTTAAAAACAAAATGCAAAGAATAGATTTTGTTTTAACATGTGCACTGAAACCTGATTCATAATTTTGTTATACTGTCCCTTAAAATGACAGTTGTATTCTGTGCAGTGACAGATCAGGCTTTTCTTTATAAGGTTCCTCTTCTGTAGGAAGGATCGACTAAATATTAGCAGTTTTGCTTGTTTTCAGCGTCTCGAGTCAAATAAATGAAAATAAAACAAAAAAATTAAGAAGCTAATAAAAGCTTTATGTCGTAATATAATATATAATATCAGCTTAATATAAGCTTAATGTATTAATATAAATACATAATAATATGCACACAAGAACTCATCACAAATAAGTTACTTTAATATTGAAATATTGCTTTTGACCATCCTATTTTAAACTGATCTATGTAGTTTAATAAAAATATTTAATTCTTTTGTTTCTTTTAAAGTATATTTAAAGAAAATTTGATTAATCTAGAAGACAACCCAATACAGTTTCTGTATTACTGACTCAGTGGTTAGTTTTAGATTATGCAGCCTCAACAAACTACAACGGCAATGTTATTCTGGCTTGTTATTTCTGAGTGTTATCAACTTTTTTTGTAAATATGAAAGACTTGCAGAAATAGAGCATGAAAGAATATTCTTATGCAAAACTGCAGGATTTGACCATGAGCTAATGAAAATGTCCTTAAAGCCTTTGAAGCAAAACCTAAGTGTGACTCTAAGTTGATATGTAAAGCTAAGCAGAAGTCTAAAAATATTCGAGACACAAATGTATATTAATATTAACGAATAACAAAAACTGGCACTGGCAACTGGAACATGTTTCATCAGATTTAAGTTAACTGAGTTTTGCTTAATCCCTCTTAATCAGAGACTTTTGGAACCAATTTTTCCTCTTTGTGCAGAAATGTATCTGTCAGTTTGATAATATATTACTGACGCTTTAACAATGATTTATTCTTATTATATAAACTTTTTTTTACATTAATTTTATTACATCAGGAAAACAGCTGCAGCATGTTAAGGTTCAGAAATAGGGCTACGAGAATCAAAAACATATTAAGTTTTCATAAAGAGGTTGCAAAAACTCAAGAATACAGGGTTCTTTCTAGATAACCTACTGATTAAGTTTTTAGTTGTTTTCTTTCAGACCTCAGTTGAGTGGTGCTTAATTATATGATTAATCACTTTGCATATATAGCAGTATACAATCCATCACAGATTGCATCATTCTTTACCATGTAGAAACACCTGTTGGAAGCATAAATTTAAAGTATTTGTGTAGCTTCAGAGACCATCTTGTGGAGAAAATAATCATCTCATCATTGAGTTGGGCAGTATTCCCAGAGGTGTTTTATTTAGTTTAACTAAGGACTGAAATCTTTTTAGGATCTTGTGAACTTTTGATGTTTATTTTTGGTGAAGTAGGTCAGACAAACATCTTGAGGCAGAGATTGTTGTTTCAACTGCATGCTAGTGATGTTTTCTGTTTAAAAGAAAAAACAAGAACAATTTTATTATTATTATTATCTCTTTAGTCGAAGCTCATAAACCTTTTGGCTCAATTTTTTGCTCCCTTTACACTATTCGGTGCGTAACATTAGATAGGTTGCCAGGCAAATGGATGTTTAATAAAGTAATTCAGCCCACAGACTGTTTAGGACTCATAACCAGGCTGTGACTTGGAGCAAGGTCTTATAGATGATAATAAAAGCACAAAGGCATTTTCTCTGACATGCAGCTCTACCCTGAAGGCACAGATAATGGTAAGACATATCAGTGGAAACCATTGAGTTTCTCTGTGGGGAAAAATAACTGCGGTTAAGTGCTTTAGGTGAGAACCTTTTGATCACATAACATATGAAGTATATTCTGAATTTCAAACTGATGTGAGGTTTTGGATCGAAGTTGTCCAAGAGGCAGAGAGGCTTGACATTATTATTTCAGGAAGAGCAGCTTGCTCAGTAAAAAACAACAAAAAAACATCTTGTTTATCTATCTCCTAAAAGAACTGATGTAATTACCAGTGAAAAGCAACAATTAAATATGCTTTACTAATTAAGCCAACAATGTACACAAACAATATACATATATTATATATGTATGCTTGTACAAAATAAGTTGTTTCACATTTAATCACAAAAACGTTCCAATTTATATTAGTTATTACACAGTGCATCAGTTCAGTTCATTATTCAACTTAATTTAAAGAGCTTTCCATCCAAGGAAGCCCAGCAAATTGCCTTGACTTGCAGCATTTCCTCTTCCTGGACGACCATGCAGCTTCAAAAGGCAATCAATTAAGTTGAGTATTTGACTTTTACAGAAATATATTCAGAAATCCCTCATAGTGGTCATAGATATAGTGATGGTGGTGAGGAAAAAGATCAGTTTTTAGTGCATGATTCAATTTTCTTGTGCTAACATATTCACCTGGATGGTAGAGCCTCTGGCTTTAATATCAAGGATGTGCACTTTATAAGTTATATGGTTAGGTCAATGTGCAATGTAGCTTTAAACAAACAACCAAAGAGAAAAAGTGGAATCTGTTCACCGTAGAGAAAACCTGTGATTGATTTATGACAGGTAGAGAGGCGGCTCAAAGATCAAGCCTCTAGACACATTTTCACACTCTGCTTTGTGGGCTGCCAGCTGCCACAAGTTTATCAGAATAGCCAAGAAAAAAAAAAACTGTTATCCAGAGGCCTGACCTCTGCTCCTGTGGAAAACCAGGCTCAAGAAGAAAATTTCTGACACAAACCACAACTTCAGTCATCTGAATGCTTATCCATTAACTTACAGAATGATGGAGCATGTGTTTATAACAGACTTTAAGACAGTCTGTTTACCATCTGGACGGTGTTTATATTTGTCTGAATATGTTTTTTTTTTCTTTTTTTTTTGCAGTAGCCTTTAAAAAGCAACTATTGCAATAGCTCTATTTATGTTGAAAAGCTGTTCAGCTGTTCAGTAAAGTGAACTGCTCTCATCT